GGTTCCGAAGGAGCTGTACAGCCTTGGCGTGACCTTGGTCCAAGACTGTTCCTGCCACACCTGGAGGTCTTGTGTTAGTGGAAATACGATGGCGGGCCATCCCACGGAAACTACATCATGGTACTTTAGTTACCTTGCCACTTCCTGTACACTAGCATCTCCCAGGATCACTTGCTACTGTGGGTAAAGGTCGGGTGGGGCAGGAAGGCGGACCAGGTGAGCATTCTGCTAAGGAATGTCAGTGGCTCCCTTACTATCACCCTAGACCCGGCTACCACTGTATTGGTCTACTTGAGTTGCCATGGCTACTCAGCCAACGTATTTTCCACTCCAGAATGGAATCATGTTATGCCCAGAGGAAAATACATCACACAACAGGCACCCAGCCCAGTAGAGCGTGATTGGCCATGCCAGCCCTAAAGCTGAGGCCTGACCCACAGGCAGGCAGGGTCACTCGCCAAGTCTCCTGAGTGTTGGTAGTAGCTCACTAGTCCCAGCACCCAGCAGTGCTGTGTTACAACCAGGGCTGCTGGGAACCAGTTCCCAATAATAGCGCTCTTAGTGGGGGACCTCCAAGGAACGGGCTGCGTGATCCTGCAAGTGACTGTATCTCTTTGAGCATTGGTTCCCTCATCTGAAAAATAAAAGTATAAAGAGTCAGTCAAAAACTCATATAAACCTCTAACTGCTTGTAAAAACTTCCTCCCACCAAAATGAGTGCCCATCTGTGGGGGCAGTGGAGGCCAGGAAGGGGAAAGGGGACACCTCACAGCCCCAGCCCCTCACTTTGTTCATAGAGCGTGGGTGGCACCAACCACAAGGGACACAACCTGCCTGGGCCTGGTTCTGAACTTTGGCCTGCAGCTCCTCCAGGACAGACAGAATTCTGCCCAGGCCACAGAAGCTGTGGGCCAATCTTAGCCTTTGACCCTGATCTGGCGCACTCAGGGCACAAACCACGCTGTTGTCATGATTGGTGACTGGTGAATAGCCAGTTTCTTCCTGGGCAGGGACTGGTCCAATGCAGACTCTGCCGTGGCTGAGGGCTAGAGAGACCTGATCCCCACTCCCCTCCATTAGTCACTGGCTGGGCAGCGGTGATCCCAGAGTCACGGGTTACCATGACAACTCCCTATACCATGGCTGCTGCTTGACAAGTCTGTCCATCTAAACCCTCCAGGAAGAAGGAGGCCCAGGCAGGCTCTGGCTTTCCTTGCTGCCCGGGTGTCCTTAGGTTCTGGCACAGTGACTGGTGCTTGGGGGTATGTCGTAAGTGACTGTTGTCTGAATGGACCCAGGATGCTCCTATCCTTGCTATTGAAAACCGCTGTTTACTAAGCACCTACTACGTGTCCAGGACTTTTCTAGTGGCTTCACACGTGGCAACGCCACCTGTGTCAGTCACTTTTCTCATCGCTGTGACTAAAGCAGCTCGAGGGAGGAAGGGTTTGCCCTGGCTCCCAGTTGAGGGTTACACCGTCCTCGGTGTGGCGGCAGTTGAGGGTTACACCGTCCACTGTGTGGCGGAAGTGTGAGAAGCTCATACATTTCTGCAGTCAGGAAGCAGAGGGGCGAATTCTGAGGCTCAGCTCAACTTCTCCTTTTCATTCAGACCTATGTATTATCCTAGACCCAGCCTACAGTTAGGGTGGGTCTTCCTGCCCCAGTTAGCCTACCCTAGATAATCCCTCGCAGCCTACCCAGATATTTGTCTGCTGGGTGATTCTAGATCCTGTCAAACTGACAGTTATTGTTAAACCGTAAACCCTTCCAGTGTGGCTACCATTATCATTCTCTCCTGGCAACCAAGACTCTAAGAACAGGCCACCTAAAGTCACCCAGCTCCAGGCCAGGAAGATGGCTCCCTTGGTAAAGAGCATTGTCACACACGCGTGAGGGCCTGAGTTAGTCCCTGTACCTGTGTAAGAAGCTGAATACAGCAGCACCCACCCGTAATCCCAGCACTGAGAGACAAACACTGAAAAACAGAGACCCACAATCCCCGGGGCTTCCTGGTCAGACAACCCAGACTACGTGGTGAGCTCCAGGCCAGTGAGAAGCCCTGTCTCCAAAAAACAATGAAGTGGAGCTTGGCTGAAGAAGACGGCCAGCATTAACCTCTGATTAACCTCCGGCCTCCACAGGCAGCTGTGCAGATGCACAAACCTAGACACACACATAGACACAAAGTCACAGCTCCTAAAAGACCCCAGTAGTGCCTCTCAGTTAATCATTGCATGGAAGGGACCCCGCTGACAGCTTCCTGGGAAGGTGCATAGTGTGTGTCTCTAACAGCCAAGACAGTCTGCCCTGCTCAGACGACAGCAGTGTCAGCCACCCTGGCGGAGCCTGGAGGTGTCCTGACTGCACTGGGGGTCTGGGACCGGGAACGTAGCAGTGCCTAGCTCAGTCACCTCATACGGCTGTTTCATAAACCACCCTACCTCTAGGCCGACTTCTCTGCCATGAGGCTCCCCACCCTGCCCATTAGTCCTCCTCGGGAGGAACCACCAGAGGACCCAGGCCTGTCCTCCCCGCCTAACCCAATAGGACTGCATCAGGTCATTTGCTGACATCCATGTGCAAAAAGGGTAGAAGGGACTTCTCCCTGCCAGAGGAAAGCTCTCCACCCTCCAGAGTTAGTAGTTCAAAGGGACAACGTAAACAGCCACCAAAGTGGCCCCGTGGTCACGAGCGGACCTCCTGTGCAAACTTTGTAGATTTAAAACCCCGGGAGGCCTTTGCTAGACGCTAGACGATGTCTGGGGGCATTTTTGTAGGTGTGTAAGAGATCTATCTGTTCTTCCTCCCGCAGCCTCAGGCCCTTGAGCAGGCGGTTCTGAGTTGGCCCAGGCAGGCTCCCCAACCCCTGTCCTCCTGCAGCTCCTGCTGCCTGTCACCCAGGACCTATAACCAGTTGCTTGTCACAAGAACACTGCAGGTCACTGTGGGGGTGGGGCCAGCGTGACCACAGAGGGCAGCTGCACCTTCACCTGAGCAGGTGATGCTGCCAGACACACCCACGTGGGGCCCAGCCCTCTCCCACGGTCTCAGCTAGCAAAGACCTAGTAGTGTGCCCTGGCCTGTCACACCTACTTCCGTATGAACACACAACGGAGTGGGAAGGGACCTAGAGATGGCAAGGTACAGGTTCCGCATGGGCTGGGGACTGTGCTCTCCTGGGGTTTGCACCTCCTTAGCTGACACAAGTATTGTCTTGCATCATGGAAGTGTGTGTGTTTCTCAAGGAACAAGTATAATGAAGCAATTCAGATTTTTGAACTCTGGAGTCAGGAACAGCAAAGTTTGTAGGTTGGCTCCTCTGTTTATTTACTGTGTTACCCTGGGCAAGTTGCTAAAGCTCTCTGATGCTTGCATGAATTAAGTAAGATAGCCTGTGTAAAGTTCAGAGCGCATGGAGAGGAGTAAGTGTTGGCTGCAGTGGTGATTGAGTCTACAGGTCATGCTCTCTAAGGCAGAAACAGTTTCTTTCCTTTGAACTGCTGCTAATAGGTTGCCATGGGTTGCTATGCTGTTGATTCTGTGCCCATAATCAATGCACTCTATCCAAGCTTCTGTGGTCACACTGCTGGTGCTCACAAACTCAGTGCACATAACAGGACACACTCAAAAAGGGTTCCCGAGGTGAGAAGCCAGCCTAGATCTCAAGTGGACTGAATGCAAGTGTCAGAACTGTCTTCCTCTTCCCAGCTCCCCTAGGCTGCTGCAGTCCTTGGTTATGACCCCTTGTTCAGGCTCCCCCTCCATTCCAGACCGTATCTCTGTTTTTAACCCCTACGTATAGCCCCATCAGACTCTTCTGTCTCCTCCATCCATTCAGCAGGGGCCAGAACCCAGCATCCCACACACCATTCATGCCGGGCAGGCCCTCTGCCACCTCTCGGTCCCTGCCCTTCCTTTGCCTGCTTTTAAATTTCATTTTCACTTTAACTGTGTGTACGTGAAAGGGAAGGGTGTGTGCGTGTGGGTGAAGTGTGGGTGAAGTGTGTGGAGGCAAAGAGGGCCTCGGGTCCCCTGGAGCTGGGGTTACAGGATTGTTAGCCACCGTGCAGGTGCGAAGAACGGAACTCGGGTCTTCGGCGAGAGCAGTCTGAGCTCTTAGCCATGACACTGTCTCTCCAGCCCTCCTCGCCTGCTTTAAGGGAACCCTGTCTGCTAGCTCGGATAATCCGGGACAGTCCATCTAAAAACCAAAGAGTCAACACATTCAGGTCCCCCAGGCTTGTTTGCCCCTCTCCCATGGAAAGTAATGTGTTCTGAGGTGACACCTTGAGGGCTGCTTTCCTGCGAGTCACTCCCTTCTCCCTGTGCAGGGAGGAGTGGCCATAGGGCAAGTTCATCTTTCTAAACTGCAGCTGAATTCTCACCTCTGCTGTGCCACCTGCCAGGGCCAGGGCAAGCCAGCCACTTCCTGGCTGCACTCTTGATAGGCATGCTTCTAGGGTCCTGGTGCCCATCTCTGAAGTGATTTGGAGCCAGCGAGATGCGCAGCAAATAAAGACAATTGGTGAACCGAGTTCAGTCCCCAGAACCCATGTAAAGGTAGGAGAGAACCAGTTCCACAAAGCTGTCCTTAGACTTCACACATGCTGCGACACACATATCCCCCACACATACACTATACACACATACACACAATCGTGATAATTTCTTTAAGAAATGAACATGTAAGAGTCATTGGTTAAGATACTTGCTGCTCTTGCAGAGGACCCAGGTCCAGTTCCTAGCACCCACATGATGGCTCACAGTTGTCTATAATGCCAGCTCCAGGGGATCTCATGCCCTCTTCCAGATTCTCCTGGCACCAGACATGCACATACTACACACACATATATGCTGGCAAATACCCATACACATAAAATAAAAATAAATCTAAAAAGATGTTTTATGTGTATATATGCTCTTATTCTCTGAGCCATCTCCCCAGCCTGCGTCTTGGAGTGTGAATGGCAGATCTGTGTTTCCTGCTACCTGAGATGGGTGGAAGGAAGGCTTGTGGCTCAGCAACAGCGTTGAGTGGTGTTGATAGGTGTCCACTATGAGAGCTGGGCTGGCGTCCTGCGGGTGACCAGGCAATTGCATTCAGTCCTCCACTTGGTTTCCCTCTCTGGGGTCGCCATGATTTAAATTCTTTGTGGTTGTTTAACCAAAGGTCTTCTTATTGTGTGGCTGGTCCTCGTGGTAATCAACGGCTTTATCGTTGCTGACAAAAATGGCAACGTGATACCATACATCACTCACGTGCTCGCCAGGCACCCTATTACCCCAAATGCCTGACTTCTTAGCAGGGGGGTGGGGGAAGGGCAGCACATCCTAACTTTTGCCGTCCACGTAGTAACCGGGTGTTGTAAGGATAATAAAGTTGTATAGTGAAAGGGGAGGGATGTAAAGACCGAGCCAATCAAACAGAAGACTGTGCCTTGCCGTATCCCAGGGGTGATCGCTATCAGGGGTCATGGGACCCAGGGATAGCATAGTGGGTAAAGTGCTTGCTGTGCCAGTGTAAGGACCTTGAGTTCAGATACCTGTGTAAAAGCCATCGATGCTGTGAGCGCCTGCCACCCCAGTACCAGAGAGAGGAGACAGGTGGATCTCAGAATCCTGGTGGTCAACCAGCCTAGCCAGAACTGTGACATCCATGTTCAGTGACAAGACTCTGTCTCAAAAAAAATAGAGAGCCACAGAGCACATTCCAGTATCAGCCTCTGCCCCACCTCCCACCCCCACCGCCAGGGATCTGGAGCCACTTCAAGGCTTTCTGCTAAAAAAGTCAGTGTAGGGGTATCTGGGGCTCCGAGAACTGCTTACCTCTAAGGGGGCCAAAGCCCCAACTTCTTGTGAACTAGAAGCCAAGTTTGAGGGCTATCAGAAACAACACATGCCCTGGGCTCTCTGTGGCCCCAGGGTGTCCCCAGGCAGGCCCAATATCTCTGACTGCTCAGCTGCTGTCCTAATCCAGAAAGCATTTTCTTGCACTTTTGACCTTCCCTGGTCCAAGAAAGCCAGCGGGAAGTAGTGGGGCCCAGGGACCCTAAGTGACTCATCCAGTCACATAGCAAATCCGCTCCTGACTAGATTCCTGGGGGCCCTGACTAGACAGCTTCCCACCCAAAAGGCAGCCTAGGCAAGGAACTGCAGCCCAGGAAACCCTCTGGACTAAGCCAGCTGGCTGGGGACAGTAGGCACCATCCTGTTTGGCAGACTGCTATACCTAGAGACTGTTCCGTCTGTCTCCATGAGCTTTTGTAAAGTCCAGAGCCACCGCAGACACCAAAAGCCACCGTAGACACTTCCCAACTCACTGGACGAAGACCAGCGCAGACCTAAGGCCCTGCCCCCTGAGTTTGGAGGTCTCTTGAGGGAGGTGCAGGTCCGGGATTCCCCTGCAGAGGAAGCTGACTCCAGATGGTGGAAGCTGCCAGTCCTGGGGATGCTCCATAGGAGGCAAGCCCTCCAGCTGGCCAGGTGCCTGCGGCTGAGGTGGGTGGGTGGCGCATGGTTCACCCAGCGGCCAGCAGACTGGCTGCGTGTTGCAATGTCTGGTGACTTTTGCAGCATCCTGTCTGTCAGTATGTGCAGCTGGGCTGCCCTCACTAAAGAAAATGGAGCAAACCTGTGGTTGGAGTAAGCCTGCATGTCTCTAACAGGCTGCATGGCTAAGGCTGCTTGGCACCTGGCAGCCCATATGCAGCTCTGGGTTCAGCTGCCAGTTAGCAGCACCCATGACATCAGTGCATTTGTTTTTACTGCCAGTCTGGTTGTGGGGGAAGAACCTGAGGTCATAGTGGCCAAAGATCTGTACCTCTTTTTTATCTCTAACCCCTTGCCATCTGAGCCCAGCACCCCATTTCCTGTCTCCCCTCCTTCCTGTCTGCACTTGAGACCCCATTCCAGTCCCATACTCACCTCCTACCCCTGCATAATCTCCACTCAGGACCCTGCCCTAACCCCCTTAATCCTTTACCATCCCACCCCTACTTTCACCCAGGATCCTAATCCCAGCCCCCTATTCACCCCTTACTCTGTTCCCACATGCTCCCAGAATCCCAACACCAGCCCCCTGCTCCTCACTCCTGCCCCTAGCTTCAGCCAGAATCTCCCACCTCACCTCTGTCTACACTTTGGACTCCAACCCCAGGCCTCTACTAACCCATTGCATCCCTGCCTCCCCTCCACCCATCCAACCTGGGACCCTAACTCCTCCCCCACCAACCAGTCCCTATACACTGCAGTTCCCTGCATCTGCCCCTTCTTCACCAACACACACACACACACACACACACACACACACACACACACACACCTTACCCTACCCCCACTTACAGAAAGACTTCCTGGAGCCTCCTTCCAGACCAGCGATCTGAGCGCTTGTGCCTGGCCACTGCCTCTGTCATGTGAGCCTGCTGGCAGGCCTTGCTCCATCTACGTGGAACACACAGAGCCAGAGCAGCAGCGTGATCATTGTCAGGCACCAGGGACAGGGGCCACGCTGTCACTTGAAACTGTGTTTACAATCTAAATGGGTAGGTGGGCTGGCATCCGCTTCCCCTCTGCTTCACCAGGACTGCTTTCAGAAACTGGGGTAGCCTGGGGCCTTACTTGGTCAAGATCTTTCTCTTCCCAGATACCTTCGCAAAGCCCACTTTCCCCGGTGCAGGAGACCTGGGGCTCTGGATGACAGTTTTCTTTTTGTACCTTTCCTCAGCCCTTTGCAAGCCTGATGCCCCCTCCCCTGACAGCCCTGCAAGCCTCCTAGATCCCTCTCCTCCATCACCCCTTCCCAAGCACCCCATCACCTGAGTGTACTCCATGACTAGGCCCACCCTACCTGGATCCTAAATTCCCCTTCTGGGACTCCAAACTCATTCCAACATCCAAACCAGAGGCTGTTATGTCCCTGCTCATAGTCTGACTGCCACCAGACTCCACGCTATCACACTCAAAGTAGAATTCAGTGCCCAGTGTGGCTGGTGTCTGCCATTGGGCTGTGGCACACTGGTCATCACCACACCAGCATCACACTGAGCCCCTTCGCGCTTGGGGCCTGTGTATGCATTAGCCGCTCTGTCTGCCTCTTTCCTCCGGACATCTGCACGGTTCCCTCCTTCACATCCCTCAGGTATCCCAGCAGCCTGCCCCCTTCAGCACCACTTTCTGCCCACTGTCTTTCTCCGTCCTGAGAAGGTCTTGTTCCTCTTGGGGCACTTTCAGCCGCCCCTGTTTTGCCTGGTCATCCGGAGCTTTTGTTTTGTTTTGAGAAGGCTGTAGTGTGGTATGCACACGTCTGTGTTGGTGCGTTCAGATGTGTGAACCTGTGCCTGTATGTGCATATGAAGTTGAGTGTCTTTCTCACTCACTCTCCAGCTTATGGACTGAGGCAGGGTCTCTCCCCGAGCCCTGGGTTTGCTGTTTGGACTAGTCTTGCTAACCAATTTACTCCCAAGACTCAGTTTCTGCCTCCTGTGCTGGGATAGCAGGGGATCCACCGTGTGACTCTGGGAATCCAAAATCTGGTCTTCATTCTTACCTGGCAAGCACGTTAGGACACACTGGTCTTCTGTTCCACAGGGTCCAACTGGAGGAACTGGGACAGAGGTCATAGGACTGCAGCCAGGAAGTGTAGCCTGTCTCTTGCCCTTTGTGGCTTGCCCTTTGCTGTCTGTGGTAGTAACTGATATTTACGGGAAGAAGTAAGGGCCCTTGTTCTTCTAGCTGGAGAGAGCAGCTGACTCAGAACCAATGAAGAATCACACCAGGGATTGGGGATGGAGGTAGGGAGACCCAGTCAGGTCTCACTTGATTTTGAGCAAGGCTCAACACTGCCTCTTGGCAGGCAGCAGTTTTAGGGTCTCAAGAGAGAGCCATTGTAGAGAGCTGGGAGTGTCTGTCTCCAAGAGAAGACAAGAGATTGCAAATAAGGCAGGAATGGGGGGTTGGGGCAAGTGTCAATCAATTGGTACTGACTCCCTGAAGGCTTCTTGGATGTACATCTGGAGTAATCATGAGGAAATAGGATGCCCTTCAAGGACAGCACACAAAAAAGCTACACTGAGGTGGGGGAGGAGTGGGAATGATCACTCAAATGGAAGCTAATCTTGTCCTGAGAGGGCTGGCCACTGATAGGTTTTACTGAATGAGCTATGGAATCCAGTAGCAAAGTCCTGCTGAGGTTCTAGAAGGATCTCTGGCTGTTGTGTTGCATCTTAATTGAAGCAGGGGCAAGTGGGAGCGGATCAGTTGGGGTCATGGTCACAGTCGTCTTGAGGAGAGAGAAAAGCTAGGCCTGGAGTGGCTGGATTCAGAGCGTGGATGACAAGAACTTGGATGGGCTGGGTGCAGAGTTAGAGATAGGAACTTATATGGGACCATGAGGCATCTTTTGGGGAGACCAGAGGAAGCGTCTGCAAACAGCACTGTGGTAGACTGGTCTGCTGACTGAGCCCACTGACTCCATGACTTTCTGGCCTCAATGTCACGCAGGGTCTCTGGAGCTCATCTGTTGAGTGGGGATAACAGGAACCACCTATGACGGCCACAAGTAGTGACCACAAGCTAGGAAACTTATAACCGCAGGTTTTAACCTGGTGTGGTGACACAAGCCGAGGTAGTTTGATTGCCAAGTTTAGGGCCAGCCTGAGCTACAGAGTGAGACCTTGTCTCAAGGGAAAATAAAATAAGACAGGTAAAAATTACAGATATATTCCGTCACAGTTCTGAGCCCCACTCCCCCAACAGAGTCCTCTGTTCAACCCTTTCATCTCCAGTGAGGACTTAGGACCCACCCTAATCCATGACGGTCTTTCCTTGGGAATCTTGACTGGGTTGTATCTGCAAATAAAGTCACAGTTGTGAGCATTGGCTGTCAGGACCTGGACATGACTCCATGAGGTCACATATCCTCCCACTCATCCTGGTCTCTTGTGAGGATGTAATCTAAGGTCCCTCAGATAGGGCCATGCACAAGGCAAGAGCCCAAGAAGCAATAGCTGTGGTCTCCCACTTGCGTGAGGATCACAGATGACCCTGGTAGGCGCCATCCCTCCCCCTACCTGCTTTGCCAATGCTGCCACCAAAAGGAGCACCTGACTTGCTGGCCCTTTGGTCCAGCCTGCATGACCTGACTAGCAGGAGCAGGAGCCACACAGATACAGGTCTGTGCTGCCCCTCCTTCCCAGGGAGGCCATCCAGACAGGCACGTGGGTGCTGTAATACCCGGACACGTTGCTTAGTGATAGCTGTTCAGTGAACACAGGATCCCTTTGTTCCCCAAGGCAGTCAGTGGCCAAGGTCACAGGTTTGAGAATCAGGTAGCATATGAGTGTGATCCTCAGTACCTCAGTACCTGGGTCGGCCATGGGAATCCTGTAATAAACCCGAGGCCATTAGTATTGTCAAATAAATACCAATATTATTGTCAGTAACATAGCAACAGAAACAGATGCCACTTCTCATAAAAGATCCTACCACCTAGAAAATGACTGTGTCAGCAAAGTGCTGACTGTTTTCCCATAAGGATCTGAGTTTAGATCCCTGGCACCCATGTAAAAAGCTGGGACCACCATCATAAGTCTGTAATCCTGAGCTGCAGGTCCTGTGAGAGCACTTTGTCTCAGGGTGGAAGGCAATGGAGGAAGATACCCAGCATCACTCTCTGACCTCCACACAAGTGCACACATGCACACGCACACCACACACACACATATCCTGCAAAACCCAGAGCTGTCCATGGTGGTGCTGAGAAGACCATCTGAGACTGTATCTTGCCTTCCCTGGTCACCGTGTTGAATGCAGTAACTGAACCTCCCTCCCAGTCTGTCCCCTGTGAGTGTGGACTGGAGCATGTGGCCTTGGGGAATGACTCAGGGGGATGGCAACTCAGCAGGTACATGCTCATCACTTTGAATGGTTGTCATTTGGAAAGAAGGGAGCCCTCTTTTCTGTAAACAGGGTGACAGGACAGCACTGGCAATAGATGAGTCATGGGACAACCACCTAGGGCTTGTCGCTAGGAAAAGGACCTCCTAACAGAGCCAGCTAAGGGCTAGAGCTTCAAGCCTGTTACTGTTTGAATCAGTCTTTGTAGTGACAACAGTTCTAGATGCTGAATTAAAGTGATACTCCTGTGGATACCTGGGGCCCTAGAACATGTCTTCCAAGCCTTCTCCTTCTTAACGGGCCCAGAGGCTCCTCCCTAGAACTCCCAGAGTCCAACTTAAAAACCTAGCCTCCTAGGGAAATCTACCCACCAAGGTTCTGCAGCCGACCTTGCAGATGGGCACTTTAGACCCTGGTCTCTGCCTGCCTGGCCTGTGGCTGTAGCCGAAGGATGTCTTTCAAGTCAGAGATAAGATGAGACAGAGACCACTTAAGTTCTGGAGTTCTTACCCAGGCAAGGCCGTGTCTAAGGGAAGCAAAACAGAGTGCCCCAGGTGGGGGCTTTGGGCCACCAGCATCATCAACACCTTCAGTTTTGTGGGCCTAGCAAATCTTCTCCAAAAAGAGGGCTTTGTGGCTGTTGTGTTGTTGATAATAATCCCAGCTGATCCACAATGAGCTTCCCTAAAGCAGCACTCAAACTTCAACTCATGGGACTTCCTAGGGTTGTCAAGCTCACAATTAGAGGGACTTAACCCAGACTGTCTCCAAAGTCAGGGTTCCACTGCATTCAAGAGATGGGTTTTCTCTTCTTAGAAATACCTCAAGGTTGAGCTAGGGATGTGGCTCAGTTGGCTGAGTGCTCACCTAGCATGTGTGAAGCCCTGAGTTTCATTTCCAAGCACTGCATTAAACCAGCATGCTGTTAACAGTCCTGGAATCCTGGCACAAATCCAAGCAGAAGGACCAGAAGTTCAAGGTCACCCTCCGCTCCTATTGAATTTTAGACCTGGGTGGGCTACAGCAAAGTAGGTAGCCAGCTGTGGTGGTACACACCTGTAATCTCAGAACTTGGGAGGTAGAGACCGGAAGATCTGGAATCCAAGGTTATCTTCAGCCACCTGGAGAGTTCAAGGACAACCTTAGCTATGTGAGACCCGATCTAAAAAAAGAAAATACACAGGATTGTAAAAGGTGTTTTTGAGACAGGCAGCCCATGATCTCAGGATCCTTCTGCCTCAGCCTCCATAGCTCATTTTACAGATATGTACCACCATGCCTGACATCTTTAGCTTTGAGTGTGTGCTCTGTTCCCAAGCCTGTAACACAAGCTACCTGGAAGGCCGATGTAGAAGAGTCATGTATTCAAGACCTGCCTGGGCTCCAAAGCCAACTCAAGGCCAGCCTGGCCAATGTTTGACCCTGTCTCAGAATAAAATGTTTTTCAAAGGAGAAAGGTCATGGAGGATCATAGCTCTCTGGTAGAAAATGTTGCTTACCTAGCATGTACAAAGTCTAGAGTTCAATCCCTGGAGCACAAAAAAAAAAAATAAATAAACAGAAAGTACTGTGTGCATGTCTCAGACACCACAGTCCCTCCCCCAGGGATGTACCCGTCTCCTCCTGTTCAGTGCCACCCTAACTCTGACTGTATGATAGACTGAAACTCCCAAGCTCCCTCTTACCCAGTCATTAGCATGGTTCTTAATAAGCATCCTCCTATCCCCTCTCTGCTATGCTGGGAGTGACGGCAAGCCACACCCTACTCCAAACCTCCCCCACCCAGTCTGCTGCTCAGCCCACCACGCTTGGAGTCTCCCTGGGCATTTTCCTTCTGTCTGCAAGGTCAACATTGCCAGTCTGACCTTAAGCCACAGTGCCCAACTCCCTGCCAAAGGACTTGGACCTGAGACTACCTGCTCGGGTCACTGGTGGGATGCCCCACTCCCCACACTCCCACCACACACACAGCCAGTCTCTAGGCTATCTTCCTGGAGAGGAAAGGCAAGGCTGAATAGTAGAGATACCAGTGTCCTAGGATCAGTAGACCTTTCTAGATGGACCAGTGCCATGCGACTGGGTCAGCTGAGCCTGGCCAGTGCCGGACTCACAAGATGATGAGGAGTCCCTGAGGGATTCTTAGTCAAGGCAAAGGGCTTCCAAATGGTTGAAACACTTCTCTGTCTGCCGGTGGAAGCCCCAAACAAGGGTTAGCCTTAGCAGGGAGGAGCAGGGGTTCTGAGTCACAACAGTGAGGACAGGAGAGGCACGACCCTAGGCTAGTCACTTTATTCCATCTGAGACTCACATATTGTGGGGAGGAACATACACACCCACAAGGTGTGAGGCTGAAAGAGGGCATATCTGTCTACTTGGCACAGGGCCTGGCCCATGGGCAAGGACTCTGTTAATATTCGTGATTGGCCAGTGTTGTAGGAAGGGTGGAAGGAACAGCCAAAGAGGCTTTGGAACTGAAGGGGCCATTCAGGCAGGCTCTGCTCTGTGGGATGAATAGGGGTTCGCAAAGAACCTTGATGTTTTAAAGAAAAATGGTGGAGAGAGATGACAAAGAGCCATTTTATCGTGAGTGGAGGCCCAGGAGAGGTATTGATGGGGCTGAGGCGGGGCAGGGGTTGCCAACGCTGAGTTACGGTGGGGAAGGTTGTGCCGTGCCTTCTGTTCTGCTCCTGTTCTTATTGTTACCTGTCTTCCTTTGAGACAGGGTCCTACTGTGTAGCCCAGGCTGGCCTTGAACTGGCTGTCTTCCTGCCTCAGCCCCTCCTACTGGGATTATAGGTGTGTACCATTACACCTAACTTCTGGGTTGTTATTGTTGTTGATTTTTTTACATGGGGTAGGGAGAGGGTGTTAGGAAGTCAGAGGACAACTTGAAGTAGTCTATTCTCTCTGTGTGAGTCCCAGGGTCGTCAGACTTGGTGTTCAGCACCTTTACCAGCCGAGCCATCTCACCAGCCCCTGGCTTTCATAAGTCACCTTTGTTCGTTAGCGACTTTTCCCATGAGCAAACATCAAGAAGTGAGTAGCAGCCCGGGACAATCCTTCCCCCTGGAGCCCCTCTGAAGATGCTTGTTCCCTTGACCTGTTGAGGTGTCAGGGGTAGGTTTTTCTGGGTTATTCCTTGCTGCTCCCCTTTTGTTTGCACCCTGAATCCTGAACTTCTTTCCTGGCCATAAGGCACGAAGTCTTTGAGTGACTGTAGAGTGTCAAGGGTGAGGTGTGATGTGTCTGCCCTTCCTCCCCAGTGAAAGCCCAGCAGAGCGAGCCTCCGGGACACTCAGTGGACACCAGCTCTGCGCTGAGTCCCTCCCCCCCCCCCCCCCCACCGGGGTCTTGAGAGGGAACATACACAGTTTTATTTTGTTTTCAGTAGGACTGGGGATTGAACTTAGGAGAGAGAATAGCAGCGGTCACTGGCCGCCTGTGCTTGGAGCCAGACAGTGCTGATGGGCAAATGCAGCTCTGCCACTCAGTGTGGATGGCCTCGGACAAGGTGCTTGACCTCTCCACACTGCAGTTTTCTTCTCTCTGGGTAGTCACAGTACGGCTAGCTCCCGGCTTCCCCTAGATACCTTTGCTTATTCTTTATCCTCTTACCCTCAGTTGGACTGATGCTTCCTCAATCCCTTAACCTTCCTTACAGGGATGGGCTCCTGAGGTGGGAACTGTGTTTCTTTGGTTCTCTTAGGTCCCAGCACTGAACTCAACCCCTCCCCATAGAAGATTCTCTAGCCCTGATAGGTAGGTGGATGAGACTGTGGTAGAGACATCGAGATAGACGAGGCACAAGGAGAGCTTTGCGGGCAGGAATGCATACCAGTAGTGGGTGGATTTGGAGTTGGGTCTTCAAAGCTTCACCATGCCACAGAACTGCACCTGGATTCAGATCCCACCTCCATCTCCCACCAGGTGTCAGGTGTGGCCGTGGACATCTGACTTATTTCATTGAGCTTTAGTTCCCAAGTACAGAAAGTGGCTGATGTAAGTCTCTAACCCAAAGGCTTCAGCTGCTGAGTCTCGTGGATGCCAGTAAGGCAAAGCAGGGCAGGCAGACCCTCACTGACAGTCCGTACCCAGGCCAAGGCTTTCTCTCCTCCTCCTTCTCACCTGAGAGGGGAAGGGGACAAGAAGCCCATTGTCTCACCTCACAGAGGACTGGAAGCCAAGAGGGTAGAGACACCAATCCTGATTTCATACATTTGAGCAGACTTTCTGTATGCATTGCACCCTTCAGGGACACAGAGTCCCCGAGAACCAGGCAGGGCTCCAGGAGGAGCCTGTCACTAGAGCAGCTTCACCCGACAGTCCTGTGCCTTCAGGCCCTCTCTCTGGTCCACACAGACCGCATTGGAGCCACCATCACCACAGAGATGCAGGCTGACTCAGAAGGACAGATGGCCTTAGGGTGCCCTATATGCATCCACCAGAGGACCTGGTGACACATGCACATGGATGGCATACATTCACAGAAACATGCCTATGTTCAGATGCAAGGCTCACGGACACCTCTTCATAGATGCAGGCTCATAGTCATAGATACATCTTCACAGGTACATGCCTATCAGCATGCTCACAGACACAGACATCTACAGATGTGAACTCGTAGATGCACAAAATGCATGCTTACACTTACAGACATGCAAGTGCGCACTCTGATGGACTCGGAGGCACTAGCACTCACAGACATGCAAACCCGGGACACAGAGATTTGCCCAGGGAGATGCACCTGCCCCCGGCAGCTCACCTTTGCCCAGCACCATGGCTAGCTCCTTGCCTGCATGCTCTAGCCCCAACAGGCCTCCCCTCAGCTCGGCCTTCCTGGATTAAGTGCTCTAGGAAACCCCAGGCCCCACTGACTCCTGGCCCACACACACTCATATATGGAAGATTCTGGGGCTGCAATGAGCTCAGCCACAGAGAACCTTTCATTCTTGAGAAGTAGTTTAATACCCACCCACACTCTCCCAATTTTGGCCCTTAACATGTATTCATTCATTCAACAGACAACACGTGCTATGGTAGGCACTGAGCTCTTAAAATAAATAGAACAGAACTGGGCCCTGGAGGTGTCAGGTTCACAGAGACACTTAGCCATTGTACCAGGGAGAGGGATAGAGCCACTCTGCCAGTACACAGGGTTGACCTCAAGAGGACCAGGGTCCCGACTGTTGTCTTTGCCTGCTCACAGGAGACAATACATACAGGCCTTCATCCCTTCATCCCGCCTGCCTGCCCACTGCTGCCCACCTCTTAGGGCCATCTTCCAGCCCAGTTGACAGGACTGCCCTCCCTAGTTCCTGGTTGCAAACGTTCTGAGCAAAGCATCGCAAGCTTTAGAACCCTGACCTTCTCCAGATAGCCATGAACCAGCAAGAGCGTGGGTCACCCAGGCTCCTTTGGATGGGACCCTCTGCACACCTATTTGTGCTAGGAAAGCCACGGGGGCTCCTAGTGACATCAAGTCCCCTCATTGATGACGATTTTTTGGGGGGGTGGGGGTTTTCGAGACAGGGTTTCTCTGTGGCTTTGGAACCTGTCCTGGAACTAGCTCTTGTAGATCAGGCTGGCCTCGAACTCACAGAGATCCACCTGCCTCTGCCTCCCAAGTGCTGAGATTAAAGGCGTGCGCCACCACCACCCGGCCTCATTGATGAATTTAAAGAGAAAAGAAACTGATCCATGGCTAAAGAGTTGGCTGCGCGGTTAAGAGCATTTGCTGCTCTTGCAGAGGACCCGGGTTCAGTTCCTAGCACCCACACGGAGCCTCACAATCACCTGTAACATGCTCTTCTGGCCTGCACAGACACTGGATCACACGCAGAACACATACATACATCGGGTACACATGCATACACAAAATAAACTTTTTAAAAAACCTTTAAAAAAGAAAGAAACACAGACCCCTGCTGGAGCCTAGCCTGTATTGTGCTGATTTTCCTGAATGCCGTGGTTGCCTAGTTCTGCCTCTCTACCATAAAGCTACATCTCAGGGCAGCTAACTCCTCAGACACCCAAACCTGGGCTCCTTTGTGTGGGGAGATATTATCCTCCTTCAGGTCAGGGCTGAGGACCAGCCAGACTTCAATTCCCAGCATCCTATGGGCCAGTCATACACCTGCCCAACCCTTCTAAGCACCCACTTACAGGTCCTGTCAAGGTCACTGGGTCACTTCTACACTTATTCCCTGCTGGGTAAGGAAGCCCTTGCTTCTTAGCAGGAGTCTTATTGTCTCTCTCCTGTCCCTCCTTGCATCCTTCCTTCCCAGTGTGAGCACAGTGAGACAGTGAGCTGGAAGCCACCCAGGACCCTGTAAAAGGAGAATGTGACCCCATCCTTCCTAGTGGCTGGTGGGAATAATCCCAGCTCTAAACATAATTGGCGAGGCCAGCTGGTCCCTAACAGAAAACATTCTAGAATAGTATACAGAAAGCTTTTCTGTTCCTTCTAAGAATCAAGGAAAAGGCCAGACCTGGGCTGGCAGGAAGTGTCCTGCTGGGAGGAATAGATCAGAAAGGTACGAACTTAACATACCAGCTGATAGGCCATAAGCATGCTCAGAAACAGCTGGCTCACTTTAGAGTAGGTGGTGTCCCTTTTAAAATCTTGTTGGGGCCCTGAGATGGCCCATTGGTTAAGAGCACTTGCTGCTCCTCCAGAGGACCTGAGTTCTGTTCCTAGTACCCATACTGGGCAGTCTGTAACTCTAGCTCCAGGGCATCTGATGCCTTCTTCTGGTCTCTGTTGTGTCCTGCGCCCATGTGCATATACCCACACACAGGTACACACGTGTGCATGCAGACATACCACACACATACATAAAATAAAAGTAAAAATTAAAAGAAAAAACTTGTTGGCCATTGTGCTAGCTAATTTTATGTCAGCGTGACACAGGCTAGCGTCATTTGAGAGATTGAACTGCAATTGAGAAAATGCCTTCATAAGATCTGCCTGTAGGCAAACCTATAGGACGTTTTCTTAGTGATTGAGTGGGGAGGGCCCAGTCTGTTATGGGTTGTGCTACCCCTGGGCTGGTGTTTCTGGGTTCTACAAGAAAGCAGGCTGAGCAAGCACGAGAGCAGGTCAGTAAGCAGCACCCCTCCATGGCCTCTGCTCCTACCTCCGGGTTCCTGCCCTGCGTGAGTTCCTGTCCTGACTTCCCTCAGTGATGGACTGTTAGTTTCCTGAATAAACCCTTTAAGTTGCTTTTGGTCACAATGTTTCATTACAGCCATAGAAACCCTAACTAAGACAGCTAGCAAGATAGCTTAGCAGATAAATACAAACCTGTCAACCTAAGTTTCATCCCTAAACCTACAACAGAAAGAGAAAATCAACTCTTAAAAGTTGTCCTCTAACCTCAACGCATGCCCAGGCATGCACTGTGGTACACCACACACACACACACACACACACACACACACAATCACAATGAATAGTTAATACTTTGCTTTGGGTACTTTTGGGGTGGAATCCAGGAAGCCGGCATTTTAAAGACTACTGAAATCCTGAATTCCTGATATCAGTCATTATATCAATACAGTCTGTTGCAGAGACAGCTATTCCATGCTAGAATTCTTTCCTTCCAGATTATTCTCTGGGGCCGGACTGAGAAATGCCTGAAAGAGACCACAGAGGAGATTCGGCAGATGGGCACCGAGTGCCACTACTTCATCTGTGATGTGGGCAACCGGGAAGAAGTGTACCAGATGGCCAAAGCTGTCAGGGAAAAGGTCAGTAGCTTGGGCATGTCTGGCCCCAGCATACGGAATCCATGCGTTCTGAGAGGGAGTGTTGCTGTGGCAGACCTTTGTGTGGGGGACCTTTGGGGACTCTCCGTGAAGCTCGTCCAAGTTACTTGGGCAGGGACTGGGGTTGATAATACAATATGAGTAGACCTCTGTGGTCCTTTGAACATGTAGACCCTATGAGTTTCTCTCTAAGACAAATGTCCCATTGCCTTCTGGGAAAATCCTTTCCCTAATCCAAGACATTTGGGCTGGGTAGATCAGTGAGCACCAAGAGAGAAAAAAAAATTCATTTTGTTACTTATCCCACCCATGGTAATATTAACCATTTTTATGTGACCATAACCTCATTTATTATAAATACGCTGCATTCTGGGTATAGTATGTACCATAAATTATTTCTAATCCTCAGACACAGCTGGTATGGCCCCAGCGCCATTTATAAACAAGACTGATGCTCAGAAAAGCCATGTGACTGGTGGTTGCGGAGCCCGGTCTGTGGCCCTCGGGTACAGCCCCCAGGGACTGGCTGCCCTCACGGCTCCACAGCCCCCTCTTGCCCGCAGGTGGGTGACATCACCATCCTGGTGAACAATGCCGCTGTGGTCCATGGGAAGAGCTTGATGGACAGTGATGATGATGCCCTCCTCAAGTCCCAGCACGTCAACACCCTGGGCCAGTTCTGGGTAAGGGTTTTCCTGGCCCAGTGCCAGCTGTAGGTATGGCAGAAAACCTGGGTTGGAGGAGGGAAAAGAGACGTTCAGTGGCACCAGGGCCCATGCCATCTGGGACATGCAGTGGCAAAGTGGCTAGATAAAAGGAATGACTGACTGGCGGGAAGACACGGAAACTTCTAACCGGTTGCTATGATGCTCTGCAGCAGGAGGCCTCAGCCGCTCCATACTGGAAGGCTAAGTCGCTAGGGTAGCTATGCATCTAGAGCGGGCTGTTCTCCCTAGTGCAGAGGTGCAGGGCTTGGCAGAAGCTGCACTGCTCCACACTGACCCCCGTTCCCCACCCTCAGACCACCAAGGCCTTCTTGCCGCGTATGCTGGAGCTGCAGAATGGCCACATCGTGTGCCTCAATTCCGTGCTTGCGCTGTCGGCCATCCCTGGCGCCATCGACTATTGCACATCGAAAGCGTCGGCCTTCGCCTTCATGGAGAGCCTGACCTTGGGGCTGCTGGACTGTCCCGGCGTCAGTGCCACCACTGTGCTGCCCTTTCACACCAGCACCGAGATGTTCCAGGGCATGCGAGTCAGGTCAGTGCACCTGTGAGACCAGCCACCTCTCCTGAGCCAACCCCGCCAGCAGTCTTCACAGAAAGGGCGCCGGAATCCCTTGGCCTCGGTCTCACTCTCAGCCCTCATTTTCCATCCCGAGGCCACAGGGTTCTACTGCACTATGCCGGTTGCTTTTCAAGCTATAAGGAAGGGAAGGCTTTTGAGGGTACCGTCTGTCCTGGTAGGAAGTCACAGTGGCAGGAACATGAACACAGTGGCAGGAAGCTGGCCACACGGAATCCACAGTCAGGAAGCAGAGAGAGACGAACGCTGGTACCCGGCTTGCTCTCTCTCTGTTTTGTTCAGTCCAAGACCGGCTGCCCACATTTAGGATCCCGCTTCTCACTACAGCAGCTGACACTAAACACCAGCACTGAATGTACACAGTGGAATGCTACCCAACAACAGAAGAGGAAATGAGTGAGCTGCAGGAGGAAGCTCACATCCATGATGCTGAGTGAAAGAAGCCACGCTAGCACGTGCTGCCCGCTCCCATGTACGTGGCATTCCAAACCAGGTGCTGGAGACAGGATCAATGGTATAGAGCCTAGGAGGGAGCCCGAGGAAACTTTGTGGCTGCGGTGGTGGTTGAACAAGCGAAAGTTAATTGAGCTGTATGCTGAAGGTGCGAGTCTTTTATAGAACCAGGACTGGTGAGGTGGCCGGGGGTAAAGGTGCTTGCTATCAAGCCTGACAGTCTGTGTTTGACCCCTGGGACCCACATGGTGGAAGGAAAAATCTGACTCCAGCAAGGTGCCCTCTGACTGCCACATGCATTCTGTGACACATGTGTACCCACGCATACATGCAGTGTGCATTCAAGCACATACTACACATATATGGACACACACATACAAATAATTTCTTAATTTATAAATGCAGATTTTAGCCCCATATGAGGAAGCCCCAAAGCTCAGTAATCAAGCCTCTTGCAGACCCATCTTATGTAGGAGAATGGAACCAGGCTTAGTGTTCATGCTTGCATGCCAGGACCCGGGTGGCACCCTGCTGTAGCTGTGATGTACCGCATGATGCCAGGCTTCATTGTCAGTCTGTAAAAGGGGGTGATGACTGGCCTCACAGGCAATAGATGGCATTGATAGGGAACAGTGTATCGCTACACATCACATACCCGATTCAGTGGAAGATTGGTTTTCTTCTCAGGACTATCACGCTTTGCTCCTCCAGAAAATGGCAGGAGTGGTGCTTACCTGATAGATGCGGATTAAGTGAGAAATAGGGATGGTTGTAGCAGACATAGCACAACCCTGGGACACACAGTTTGCTCATAAAAGAGGTGCTTCCCCTGTTATTTTTTTTTTTTTTTGAGACAGTCTCATCTGTAGCCCAAGATAGACTTCAATCCATGGTGATCTTTTGCCTCCGCCTCTTGACCTCTGTGACTTTAACAGTGTACCACTACTCTTGGCTATTGCTTTTACCAAGAATAAACATGGTCTTTGATGGATTTTACTAGTTTTCATAGAAGACAGTCTCTTTGGAGTTTATCCAAAAGTAGATATTTCTGCCTGGCTTGCTAACGAATTATTGTACATTCTCAGTTTCAAGGAGGCTTTACTCTTGACTATACCAATGTCCTGGGATCAAATTTTGGGTCTGTGTAACCTCCAGCAGGTGACTAGACTTTTCTGTGCCTTGGTTTCCCTGTTTATATATTTTAAAGTGTTTCCTAAGTAGCACCTCGGCTTCACAAGTTGGGGAGAGCCTGTGTGGGAACCGACTGGCCATGTCTGCTTTGTGAGCACTAAGTGGATGCCAGCTACCCGCAGCTGTGCAGATGAGCGCCAAGGACCTGGCCAGAAGAGCTGTGCTTAACCAACTCCTATTTATTGAAAGAAAAGTGAAAAAAGAAAAGTCTTGGTTTTGTCCTGTAACCATCTAAGCAACTTCCCAGGGATGGTGGTCAGGTTGGGATAGAACAAGTAGGCATCCAGCAAGACTGGCTGAATCCATGGGGCCACTGTTCTCATTGGCTGACTTACCCTGTATTCCAGCCACACTAGACCCCCGTTTCCACTACACTGTTGTTGCATTTGACACCCCCCCCCGTAGCCTTGCAAATGAGCTGTAAACCCATTTCACAGATAGAGGAACTGAGTGTAGAAAGTCATATGTGTGAGACAACACAGCTGGAATTGGGCTATCTGATCAGGCTTCTCTGGTCACTTCCCGGCAACCTTTGTTGTCACACACACACACACACACACACCACCCCGACATACACACACACACACACACACACACACACACATACTAGGGGAAATCTTAACAGGTTTGAGACCTTTCCATCGGGTCCTTCTGCAGGGGTCTTACCTAAAGGGTTCCCTAAAGCCTATACAGTTGGGTCTTGCTGTCCTGTCTCCTCTCCCCTAGAGACAATGCTAGACACAGGTGAAGGCTGGAGATTACAGAGACGCAACCATGTCAGTGGAGTTGCCGTCAGTGAGCTACCTCAGCACGCGTTTCTCTGAAAAACCCAAGGCCAACCCTTCTAGGCCACAAGTTTCCTATCTGAGGATCACTCACTATCTTGGTCTGGGAAGAAAACCTAGTCAGCAAAATTTGATCTCTAGAACCCAAGTTTATAAAAATCCACGCCAAGGTAGCAGGCACTTGTCTTCCTAGCAATGCATAGTCAGAGGCCGGCAAATCCCAAGGGCTTGTTGGCCAGTCAGGTCGGTGAGCTCCCAGCCAATGAGAGACCCCAAAGTGCATGACTCCTGGCACAAGAGACTGAAAGTTGACCTCTGCCCTCCACACACATACATGTTACGTACCTGCACACACATGACACTCATGCGTGAACAGACCCAAGCTGCACTTGTCACGTGACTGAGGCAGTACAGGGAAGGCACAGCAGTCTGTGAGCCCCAAGGCTGCCCCTTGCTCAGGCTTGGCATGATGATGATGACTCACCACCCTTAATCTTACTGGCACCAGAGTGAATCATAGCCCCCTGAGGGACAGAGGTCAGGGCCAGCAGCCCATGCCCTGTACCTTCAGACTGAGGAGAGCAAGAAGAGCCAGAAACAGCCGCTGGAGCAGTGCTAGGGGCTCACCCGTTTGCCCCCTGCTCCGCTGTTTCCTTATCCATAAGTTGGAGAGAATATTTGTGCATGGGCCCAACACTTAGGGAAGAAAATGGGTGCATAGCTCTGGGGTCAGATGCTTCTGGACAGGCGTGGGAAGCGCCTGTTGTTTATTTGACGCCTGTTCATCTGGAAGTCCCGTGGAAAGTCATTCTGTATTTGACTGACAGGCTAGTGAACCAGCAGGCTGAGGCCCTCCCAGGCAGAAAGGCCCAACAGAGGAGTGGGGCAAAATGACAAGTATTTATTAGGCACCTACTGTGTACCAGGTCTTACTAGATCCTGAGGATGCACCAGGCAGTGAGATTCGCTGAGCCTTCTCCCTCAGGAAACATCTAACCTGATGGAGGAGACAGACCCTTGACAGGGAGCAATCTGTTGAGCAAGGCTATTCTGGTGTGGTTGTGGTTAAGGCAACTAGAAAGGAGGTAAAATCAGAGGTCCCCCAGCGATAGGGGAGGCTGAGTGATCTCTCGGGGGGGATCAAGGAGGAGTGTGTATGCTGTGAGAATGGCTGATGAGGAAAGATGGCCCAGTAAGAAAGACTGAGGGCTGACCCATGCCGTTGACTGTGGACTCTGATTCCCTGACTCTATTAGAGATGCCCCCTGCTAGTGGGCAAACTCCACTCACATGGTGAGGCAGGAGGGACCAGGATTGAGGGACTCGAACAGGCGTGGACTGGGGGAGAATCCCACAGCCTCCAGTCCCTCAGAGAAGAGAGCCCAAGTGATGCCCTCAGACACACTAGCCACTCACTAAGGGGCCCAGCCGAAAGGCCAGCTTCTGGAGAAATCAGTGTTTTCTGCCTTCAGGTTTCCCAACCTCTTCCCACCGTTGAAGCCAGAGACAGTAGCCCGGAGGACGGTGGAGGCTGTGCAGCAAAACCAGGCCCTCCTCTTGCTCCCGTGGACCATGAATATCCTCATTCTCTTGAAAAGGTATGGGGTGGGGAGAGAGAGCTCTTCACCGGGTCGAGGTCCAGTGGGCCCTGGTGGAGAAAAGGCATCAGGCAGGAGAAAGTGAGTGTAGAATTGATTAGTCATGTCTGCCGCGGGCAGGGTGCTGAGGAGTAGCACTGAGTAGTCTAGTGGTAGTAGACTGAGCTGAGCAGTAAGGCCGACTTGTTGGTCGACGGCTCTCTGTGAGGTCTGTTATTATTTTTTTTCATTTCTTTTTAAATTTATTTTTGAGGGACTTACCTGGAACATACTATAAAGCCTAGGCTGGCCTTGAACTTGCAATTCTCCTGTCTCTCTAGGGTTGGGATTATAAGTGTGCACTACTCTGCCTGGTTTAAATGATTGAGGGATCCAAACAGCTCTTGTTTATGTGAGTTTTGTCTACCACTTACTGCGTTAGAAATTAAAACTGAGGGGGAAGTTTTAACAGGAGTTTCTATTTATACTATTTTTCAGTTATAGAAAACGGTAACAGAACTATTAAGTTATCATAGCTGCTTTGTTTGTTTTCCTGCCATTTGAGTTTCTTTAGACAGGATCTCACTGGGTATCCCAAACTAGCCTCAACTCCTAAATATATTTTTTGTGACCGCAATTATACTTTCTAAAACACCACAGACAAGTAATCAGGAGAGATGCGGGTTGTGTTCTTGTAGATCTCGTCATTGTCTGGTTTAATCTGAAACAACTAGGTTCTTACATCTGATTTCTGTCAGTTGGGATAGTCCCCTGTAGCAAAACCCCTGAGAAACCTGCACCGCACGTGCAGAGAAAATAGAAGGAAAAAAGACAAACGTTGGGCTGGGGGTGCGGCTCAGTAGGTAGAGAGCCTGCCTAGAAGAGGCAGGAGGATCAGAAGTGTGAGATTACCCTCAGCTACACAGTCAGTTTGAGGCCAGCCTGGATGATATTCTGTAAAGACCCTGCCGAGAAAGAGAGAAATAAGGAAGGAAGGAAGGAAGGGAGAGGAAAAGAAAAGGAAGGGAAGGAAGGAAGAAGAGAAAAACAGATCATACTGTGGTATTACTATAAGTATCGTAGAGAGATCTCAGGCACCCTCAAGAGTTCCTGGACCACATTTTTAAGAACCACTGCTCTGCAGGCAGGCATCAGGCATAGCCCCAGCTCCCAGGTAGCTTAGCTGAGTCCAAAGACAACAGGATTTTCAGGCCGAAGGCTCAGTGTTTGGAGAAGTGTCTCAGCTCTAGCGAGGTGGGGTTTACCAGGGAAGACTGCCTTGGGAGGTGGGCTTCCTAATGGAGATATCTTCTCCTCTAGAATTTTCCCAGCACGGACTTTGCCTCAAACTGTCCAGACTCGGTGCAGCAAGACCTTACATCTGGGTCCCATGCTGAAGGGGCTAGTTAGTGCTTGTGGCTCAGTGTGCTCTCCACACAGGGAGGGCTGTGTCGCTCCCGCCGCGACTGTGGCTCCTGCTTGTCAGGAAGTTCAGCCCCTGGTTCCAGGCTCACCCTGTTGTTATCGTCAAACATCCACTCGCAGGAAGGCCACACCCTTGGCTGTGTGACTAAGGGAACAGTGGCAACCGGCCCTTTGTCTGCCACTCTGCTAGCCTCTGTGCAGGCAGAGGTGAGGCGTGGAGAGCAGGGGAGAGGGCACGTGGAGTGGTCACACTGTCCCAGCATACCCTGACCTTCAGTCCAGGGTGCTCTCTGGCTGCCAGAGGGATCCTCTAGAGGAGCAGGCACCAAACTGGGGGGATGGCTCAGACGGCGATGTGCTGGCTATGTAAGCTTGAGAATCTGAATTGGATTCTCTAACACTGATGTCTGCCCTTCATATGTTTCCTGCACTGAGCAGGTGACTGTGTACACATACACACACACACACACAGAGAGAGAGAGAGAGAGAGAGAGAGAGAGAGAGAGAGAGAGAGATATTTTTTTAAAAGGAGGGCTGGTGAGATGACCCGCAGTTAAAAAGTTAAAAACACTTGTTCTTGCAGAAAACCAGAATTCAGTTCCCAGCACCCACTTCAGGCAGCTTACAACCTCCTGTTAACTCCAGTTTCAGGGGGATCTAATGCCCTCTTCTGGTTTCAGTGAGCAACTGCACACAAGTGCACAAACAGGCACAAAATACATAATTCAAAATAGAACAAGACTGAAAAGCAAAAACCCACAGAAGTGTATCCATCTTGGGGTTCTGGAGGCTGAGACACCCAAGAGCATGGCATGGCATCTGGCAGGGGCCTTCCTGCTGCCTTGTGACACGAAGGAGAGTTTGCCCATACAGGACGGAGCAAGTATGCCCCGAGAGCTTGTTTCTATAACAGAGTCACTCAGACTGCCCATTAATCCAAGACTGGGTGGATCCCCTCATGACGTAGCCACCTCTGTCTCACCACAAAGACAGTCAAGTTTCAGCTTGCATCTTGGAAAGTCCAGAACACATGGAAAGTGCAGCAGCTGCTGAGAACACACTCCCTCTGCCGTTCCTATGCTTGGCCCCTCACCTAATCAGAGTGCTGATTCTCAGAGTTCAGGTGCTGTCTTTGGAAGGGGAGCTGGTGTGTGGGTTGCAGAGGCTCTGAAACCATTGTCTACTACCTGGTGTGACATTGCCACCGTTGACCCTGTCACTGTTGCCCACCCTACTAATCGTCTTCCCTTCTCCCCCCAGCATACTCCCACAGGCTGCACTGGAGGAGATCCACAGGTTCTCAGGGACGTACACCTGTATGAACACCTTTAAGGGGAGGACATAGAGGCTCTTCAGACACACCTGAGGAGCCACGGAGCCTGGGGGGAGCCACAGGACCCGGGCACACATCCGTGTGCCTGTGCGTCGGCACATCTGCTGGGGGAGCAGGACTGTTCCTGTCCCTAGTGAAGATTCTGTGGCTCCCGGGTCAACTCCAGGACCTTCGTGCAGGACTGATGTGTGTAACTCTGACCCCCATGGGGAGGCGAGACGCCATTCAGCAGCCACCTGACAGTTTCGCACCTCTCTCACTCTGTAGGTTTATTGTTAAATTGCTTCTCCAGTCTAACCCACCTGAGCAGTGTGCATCGACCCTGTCCAGGGGAGTCTGTCCCCAGACACCCTGCCTTCCCCTCCAAACCCTGTCACCCTCAGCTCATGCAAACTGGTTAAATGGCAGTAACGCAAATAAAGAGGTGGCTTGCGCAGCTTCCTTTTGTTCCCATCCTTGGGAGGGAGGCAGCTGGGAAGGAGCCTGTCCCAACCACAAAGCCCCATCCTTTGAGAAGGAAGGGCTCATCTCAGGGTCTACAGAGAGCAGGAGAGGGCCTGCAGCCCAGTCCTAGGAATGAGGGTCAGGGGAGCCCTTCCAGACACATAGCTTCCCTTGTAGGATCCCTGAGAGCTAATCTACAGAAGAGCTCACCACAGATAGTACTGTCTGTCCTTTCTTCACCCCACTGGCCACCAACTTAAAAGTAAAGTCAGCCTTCGCTGAGCACCCGCTGTCTACCCCGCGTGAAAAAGCCGAGATGACAGCAGCAGAAGATGTACCTCATCATTTTGGCCAGCACTGTGGGGTGCTACAGACCCCACAGCACATCTGATTGTGGGAGAAGGGAAAGCCCAGAGAACAGAAGAAGCTGGCATGGTCCCAGACCAGAGTAGAGGTACCCATGGTTCTCTGGTGTGACTCTCGTGCTGAGAAAATTCAGTCAGTGACTCTGTGGTCAGTGTGGAGCAAAGAGCAGTGTGACTTGTCTGGAACAGCGTCCATCAATACAGCTTTTACAGGTGAGTGGCAAGGAGCAGGCAGGGGTGGTCTCCAGACAGGAAGATTAGGAATAGCGTCCATCTATACAGCTTTTACAGGTGAGTGGCAGAGAGCAGGGTGAGTGGTCCCCAGACAGGAAAATTGGGAATAGCATCCGATGTTCATGAAGCACTAGCAGGGCACTGCCAGCCTAAAACATGGCGTTTGCTGTGTTGGTTACCAGCTCTCCCTGCGGCTACTGAAGACAAAATACAAAAACAAAACACAGCTCAAAGCAACCACTATGAACAATATAACCACTTGGTGGTGGGTGTCAGCCAGATATGACCACCAGATCACCATGGCTTCCAACAGGAAAGGTGTCTGCCCTGCAACTCAGTTTATTCACGAAACCGTCTTCACTCTGGGCAGCCACTACCCGAGACGAGTTGTCCCAGGGAGCAGATGTACGCTGGCCCACCATCATGCCCTCAAGTTCTGCCTGGAAATAGTGTATGGCACTTCCACTCCCATTTCATTGGCCAGATTCAGTCATGTGACCATGCCTGCCAAATATCCTGGGAAGCTAAACTATGATCACACATTCTACCAAACCATGGAAGAAGACTTCAACTCAAGGATGTAGTATCCCAGGGCCCCTTGCTGGAGCTGAGCAATGGCTGCAGAGGTGGTGCCTGGTTCTCTTCCCAAGCACTCTTCCAAAGGGAGAATTTGGAAGCTTGTTCCACAGATGAGAAGTTGAGTACAGATCAGGATGTCGGCTTGGCCAGGTCCAGAATTTGAACACAGCTCCGACTCCTGGATTCCCATCGCACCAGACAGTAGCAAACAACAAGGAGTCAAGTCGGGACCATCCATCAGCTTCCTTTTGGTCCCTGAGGACAGGTGTCTCCAATGTGTGGAATGTTACTACCCTCCTCAGCCAAGGCAGGTGCCTGTGGTTGACTCCTCCAGGAGAGAGGCTGGGGTGAGGGGGTCCATCTTAGTGGACAGGGAGAAGTGCATGGGGTAAGGTGGGGATCCGGCCTGCTGAGCCCCCAAGTTTCCTGACCATCTCTGAGCAGCTGATGTGTTTCTGTGCTCATGGCCTACCCCGGGGACACCCCACCAAGAATGATCATCACCTTGCTTACACGGAAATCTCTGAGTTTCCCAGAATGCAAATGATTTCTTTTGGTAGTCGGATGGAGTCTGTGACCCCCACAACACACACACCAACACCCCGTTTTGGGTCTTTTTTGGGTCTTTTTTTTTTTTTTTTTTGGATTGTTTCCCAGAGGAACCAGGGAAAAGGCCTTGGGCATATTCCCAGGAACCCTCTCTGGTCCCTCACTGGGATGGTTTGACTGCCTGGAGAGCTTCAAGAGTGAGAGTGGAGAGCTAATTCTGTCCCTTTGCTTGTCCAAGAGAAGGAGAATGACAAGCGCCAGCCCCCTGAGGAACATAACAGGCTGTGCCAACCTTGCAAAGAAGCCTTGGGTCCTGGGAAATGACCCAGTTGCCAGGCTGTAGGTTCCTCCCCAGCCCCAAAGAGAAGCAGATCAGGGGTGGGTGCCAAGCCCAGGGAGGCATCAGACCTCAGCCCTGACTGGCCCTGCTCCAGGGAGCAGGCTGTCTGGCTGGGCCAGTGGTCAGGAATTCAGTCCTGTGGACACCAGTAGCTCCCGGGGACCAAATACTTTGAGAAACCAACTCTCCCAGGAACAAGCTGATGTCTAAAGCCCCAGAGCTGACTCCAAGAGGCACTGCTAGGCCCCTGCCCCTCCTACCTTAGAGCCCCATCCCAAGGGAGGCAGCGTTCACCTTTGCAACGTTCCTATCTGGTGGAAGACAGACAGACAAAAAGAACCCAGGCCACAAAGCACGGACGCTGAGGTCCTCAAAGGACAGCTCTGGGGTGGGGGAGGAAGGAGGAGGCCCATGGGGGACCCCCTCCCCCCGAAGAGCATCTTTCCGTTTCTCAGGATTTGGGACAGAACTAAGCGGCCAGAGGACTTCTCTACACACACTGCTCACTTTAGGCAAAGCCAAAAGGCGAGAAATATCTGCTGACGCAGAAGGCAGGGCTGGAACCGCTCCCAGACACTTCATACTCAGTTCCCAAACATTCCCTGGGTCTTGGAGTGCGGTTCAGTTGGTGGAACCTTGTCTAGCCCTGGGCTTGATACCCAATACCGCAAAAACCAGGCTTGGTACATGCTTTTATTCCTAGTACTTGAGAAATGGGGGCAAGAGAATCAAAAGTTCAAGGCTGTCCTCAGCTACATAAAGAGTTTGAAGCCAGCCTGGGATGCGGGAGGCCCTGTATCAAAACCACAATCAAAAAAACATTGATTAGGGGCCAGAGAGATGGCTCGACAATAAGAGCACTTTACTGTCAAGCCTGATGATGACCTGAATTAGGTCCCTGAAGTCCACAGAGTAGAAGGAGAGAACCAATTTCCTCAGAATTGTCTCTGATCTCCACATGTATCCCATGCACTCATACACGTATGTGCGCACACCCAACTCCACCTGTATCTACATGGAGGGCTGTAGAGAGTGGGACTAAGTTCTTCACAACCCTGAGGGCCACTCTGCCTCATCTGTTCAAAGCTCCAGCTCTCTCAGTCCTTGAGGTCTTCAGCCACAGCCCTCCAAGTGGAGCCAAGGCTCAGACACGCACCCCAACTTTCCCAGTCTTCTGGGGCCAACCATGAAGTCAGAAAGCTCTACAGGAAGTGGGAGGCCCTGGGATCTGGCGGGAGGGGAGGTTGTCTGATTCTCCTGTCCCGTCGTCCTAATAAAACACTCTGACAGAAGCACTTAAGGAAGAAAGGGTTTGCTCGGGCTCATGGTCCAAGAGACAGTCCATCATGCTGGGGAAGTTGAGGAAGTCAGAGCATAAAGTAGCTGGGAACCTTATGTCTGCAGCCAGAGACATGAATGCAAGATCTGCAGTAGGAACCATGAATGCAAGCATGCTAGGGCTCAACTCACCCTCGGTCTCAAAACAGGCCAAAATCTCCAACCTAGGAAGTGGTCCTTCCCACAATTAGGATGTCTCTTTCCACATAAAACAGTTTCCACAGGGCCCTTCCTCCCAGGTCATTCTAGGTTCTGTCTTGATAACAGTTACCATTCACCATTATAGAAAGGAATTCATATCCTCGGGGTCCAACCTGGGCTCAGCCACCTCCTCTGTAAAACCATCTCTCCTGCCCTTCTGTCTTTGGGCTGTGTGACTGTCCAGTGTGGACTGAGCTTAGGAAGGCACAGTGAAGTTAAAGCAGTGAGTGACAGAATATTCTCACCCCAGACCTGACCTGATGGCCTGCCCCTCAAGATCCCTGGATCACTCACTGCCATTGCTTGGCCCGTGATGTCCCTCAAGGCATGGCTGGCTGTAACTATGGTGTGATAAGTTGATACCCAGAAGACCCCATCATGGGCAATGGTACAGGAGTGAGGCGAGGCCTCGGGAGGGCAAGTGTGGAGTCCCCAGCAGAATGGAGGGTTCTTCCTAGAAAGATGGGTTGCAGTTCTTCAGTGCCTGGGGCACGCTAATCTGCCATCCTTGTCTCTGAGAACCCTTTGACACTCACAGCCCCCATGGCTTGGGAAGAGAAGAAACAGCAGAGTCACCTCCGAAGGCACAGTTGGAATGGCATCCGTCGCCTCTCTGGGATTCTGTTCTCCAAATGGGGAATGTCCAGGGTGAACAGAAAGACTGAGCTGCAGGGTCCACACAGAGGTATCATACCAAAGTAACTGGTAGCAAAAACTCTCTGCATTAGCCAGGATTCTCTAGAACAAAACAAAGAATGAATGTGTGTGTGTGTGTGTGTGTGTGTGTGTATGTGTGTGTGTGTGTATAAATCATACATATCATATATCATAGATATATAAACCACACACATATATATATACATATATATATACATTTATGGATTTTATGGGATTTATCAGAATGACTTACAGGCTGTGGTCAAGCTAGTCCAACAGTGGCTGTCAACCAACGAAAAGTCCAAGAATCCAGATATTCAGCCCATGAGACTAAATGTCTCAGTTGGTCTTCAGTATTCACCAGAATCCTGAAGAAGTAGGCTCTAATGCCAATAAAGGAATGGGCTTGCTAGTGAGCTTCCTTCTTCCATGTCCTTTATACAGGCAGCCAACAGAAGGAGTGGCCCAGATTGGAGGGGGATCGTCCCTCCTCAAAAGATCTGGATTAAAATGAGTCTTTAATTAAGAAAAAAGAATCCCTAGAGGTGTTGCTAACCACTTGGGTTTTAGTTAATTCCAGATGTAATCAAGTTGACAACCAAGAGCAGCCATCACTCTGCCCGGGTGACTTGTCCTGACCCTGGACGCTGTCTGGTCAGCGCACACCACGTAGCTTTATTGACATAAGAGCCAAACTCGTCGGCTGTTGAGATGGTTCAGTGGTTAAGA